AGAAAATAGAGACAGAAGGAGAAACGTCATGATACGAGGGGTCCCAGAGAACTCAAAGGGAGAAAACCTGCAAGAAGTGGTTTGTAAAATATTAAATACTATAACAGACAGTACTGAAATGGAAAGGACTAAAATAGAAGGAATCTTTAGAAAAGGAAAAATCCAGAGATACCTGGGGAAAGAAAGGCCAAGAGACATAATAGTTAAATTTTATGAGTTTCGAGATAAAGAAAAAATCTGGAAGAAGATCAAGGGAAAATCAGTTATTAAGTATGAAGGAGGAGACATACAGATATATGCGGACTTGGCCCCAGAGACTCTGTGGAGAAGGAGAACTTTGAGACCCCTATTGGAAAGGTTGAAAGAACATAATGTGCAATATAGATGGGGGACTCCCGAATGTTTAATAGGATGGAAAAATGGGGTTACAGCATACCTCAGGTTCCCAGAAGATTTGAAACATTTTTGTGACAGTTTAAAAATACAAAGAATGGAGATTCCTGGCTGGGAAGAAGAACTGTGGGAAATTAGAATGAAGAGAAAAGAGGACTGGCAACTTGTGGGGGGGGAGGAGGGGGGGGGGGGGGGAGGAGGAGAGAGGTGGAGGAGGAAAAATAAGGGTTGTTTTTTTTTTTTTCCTCTACCTTGGTCTGCCCTCACCCTATCGCCCCTGTCTTACTGTGCTTGAGATGAATCCGAGTAGGACTTGGGGAGCTATGGGGAGGTTAGACAAGGGGAAAGTCGTCCATGCTCAGAGTTTTTAGCCCAAGGATTAGATCAAAAGTGGAATTTATTTTCCATAAATGATTAATAGGCAAATGATAGGCCTAAAAAGAGGGGGGAGGGGAGGGGGGAGGGGGGGAGTTGGAAGGTTGGGTGGGTGGGTAAGTGGGGAGGGGTTTTTTTTTTTCCTGCAAAATAAAAAAAAAGATATAAAAGCAAGTGAGAAAGGAGAAGGAGGGGAAGAGAGGAAGGGAAAAGAGAAAAATATAGATGGAGGAGAAAAGAGAAGATTTATGGAAGATGGAAGAGATTCAGTTTATAACATATAACGTAAATGGGTTGAACTGCCCTGAGAAAAGATTTAGATTGTTTAAAGAACTACACCATAGGGCAGCCTCAGTGATATTTCTACAGGAGACACATTTCGAGATAGAATCAAACGTTAGGCTGGGGTCCAGAAATCACCCAACATGGTATTATGCAGATTCCACGGTTAAGAGAGCGAAAGGTGTAGCAATAGGTATGGCAAAAGAATACTTGAGCTGGAAGATAGAAAGACAGACCCAGAGGGGAGATTCTTGTTTTTAAAGGGAAAGCTACAGGAGATTGAGTGTACACTGGCCAATATGTATTGTCCTAATAAAAGCCCGGAGATATATCTGAAAAAAGTATTGAGGTAGTTGATGGACTTTAAAAAAGGACGCCTGATCCTCGCAGGGGATTTCAATTTTTGTATGGAACCACAAAAGGATGCTACCTCCCATGTACAGAGAGAGGGAAGTAGGGCCCTGAAACTATTGAAAAAAGAATTACACATAATTCAATTGGTAGATGCCTGGAGAATTACACATATGCAAGATAGAGATTATACCTTTTTTTCAAACATGCATAAGAGGTATTCAAGATTAGATCACATATTAATAGAACATCAATTAATTGACCACCTGGTTCAAGTAGAAATAGAGACAATCTCTCTATCGGATCACGCCCCAGTTACAATGAAATTGGAATGGGGGAGGGGGAAAATAGGAGGGCTGGGTTGGAAACTGAATGAGACACTATTAGTAGAAAAGGAAATAGCCCAAAAAATAGGGGAGGAGATCGAACGGTATCTCAAGGAGAACGAGACAGGTGATGTGTCCACAGCTACAGTGTGGGAATCTCATAAGGCATATATAAGAGGAATATTGATAGCGATTGGGGCAAGAAAGAAAAAAGAAAGAAGAGAGAAAATGAGTGGGCTCTTAGAAGAAATAAGTAAACTAGAACAACAACATAGGAATAGAATAACAAAAGAAATAGAGCTGAAGTTAAAAAAAAAGAAAGAAGAATTGGAAGGTGTAATAGAAGAAGAGAGGAGAAAAGCATATAATAGAGTTTTGAGTGAGAGATATAGATGGGGAGAAAGACCTGGAAAATATTTGATGAGGGCCCTGAGGAAAAAGAAAAATAGAAATTATATAGAAAAAATAAAAGATGTTAAGGGGAACCTGAAGCACTCAAATAGAGAAATCACCAAAGTTTTTATGGAATATTATAGAGACTTGTATAATATAAATCCCCTGCGGGGATCAGAAAATATAGAAAGTGGGAAGAATCAAAAGAGAAAGAAATATCTAGAGATGGCTGGGTTATTAAAATTAAGTGAAGTCCAATTGAACTCCCTTGATGCAGATATCTCACAAGATGAAATAAAATTAGCTTTGAAGGGTACAGTGTCTGGGAAAAGTCCAGGACCAGATGGATACACTGTGAGATATTATAAAAAATATAGTGAAATCTTAGTACCAAAACTTAGAAATTATATGAATGCACTGGGTGGAGAGATGGAAGTAAGAAGAGAATCGCTACAAGCTCAAATGGTGCTTATTCAAAAAGAGGGAAAAGATGCTTCACAGTGTTCGAGCTATAGACCTATTTCATTATTAAACACCGACACTAAGTTATTTGCAAAGGTCTTGGCAAATAGATTGAAAGAGCTAATGCCTGAATGGATACATGAGGAGGTGGGGAAAAGTAAAAATGGGGAAAAGAACCGGTGGTGCTACTCTCTATAGATGCTGAAAAAGCGTTTGACAGAGTGAACTGGAGATTCATGATGGATACTTTAGAAGTCATGGGAATTGGGCCTAGGATGAGAGAGTGGATAGGAAAGTTGTACAGATACCCCTCTGCAGTTGTTATGGTGAATGGGGAGAGGTCAGAACCCATCGAGATGTCAAACGGTACAAGACAGGGATGCCCACTGTCCCCACTGCTGTATGTTATATCATTAGAACCACTGCTGTCAACAACAATAAGGCTGAATAGAGATATAAAGGGAATCCAGATAGGGGACACAGAACATAAAGTCGCCGCTTTTGCTGACGACTTGCTGTTCTATGTAGGAAACCCCAGGATAACACTTCCAAATTTAATGAAGCTATTAAAGGAATATGGAGAACTGTCAAATTTAAAGATTAATCCAACAAAAATGGAGATTCTAAATATAAATATTTTAAAAAATGAAAAAGAAAAAATTCAAAAGGAATTTCCCTTTAAATGGAAAGATAGAGATATAAAATACTTAGGAGTAAAACTTACAGCTTCATATAAACATCTATATAAATTAAACTATATTTCATTGATCAACGAGATTAGAGAGGAGCTAAAAATATTGCAGGAGGGAACTCCGACATGGATAGGCCGTATTAACCTGGTAAAGATGGTAATAGTACCAAAAATTATGTATAGATATCAAATGATACCAATTAAACTCCCAGAGATCTTTTTTAAAGTAATTAAGAAACTGATAACAAAATACATATGGAGGAATAAAAAAACAAGATTGTCATATGAGTTGTTGAGTAGGAGGAAAGAAAGAGGTGGTTTAGGGCTCCCAGACTTTAAAAGATACTATAAAGCTGTAATATTGGCAAGAACCATAGATTGGATATATAACTATAAAAAAAAGTTGGGTGAGAATAGAGAATGAACTTAGTGGAATAGATTTGGGTAAGGTGATATGGGTACCAACACAGTATAGGGGTTTAAATGATAATGTAAATACATACACTTTGAATGAATTTTTAAAAATTTGGGATAATTTACACAAAAGTTTGAAATGGACTTTCAATTCAACACTGATTTCACTAAAAAACACGGAGTTTTTTCCCCCAGGGAGAGAAGAAATAGGTGGTAGGTGGTTTAAAAAGGAAGAGGTTCAATTAAGAGATATTTTGGTGGGGGGATAAAATAGGATCATTTGGGGAATTGAAAAAAAAAAGAGGGAGAGATTTTCACTAAATTAGATGAGTGGCGGTATTTTCAATTGAGGAGTTTTGTTGGAAGTCTGCCAAAACCTTTAAGGACAAGAGACAATTGGAACTTGTTTGAAAAGGTATTGGGAACACAAGGTGATGGGAAGCACGGGATTGCTAAGGTATATAAAATACTCACTGAATTAGATACAAACACAAAGCCAACATATATAAAAAAATGGGAAACTGATATGGGAATTGTGATAGATGAGGAGAAGCAGAGGAGAATATATAGATTAACTCACGAAAACGTTTCTATGAGAGAAGTAGAGATGAACTATAAGTGTTTGACAAGATGGCACATTACACCAAACATTGAAAATAAGATGTGTGAAGAGAGCTCACCGTGGTGTTGGAGGGGATGTGGTGAAATAGGCACAACATACCACATATGGTGGGGATGCCCAAAAATTCAGATATTCTGGAAGACAATAACCCATTTGATAAGAAAGATAACAGAAATAGACATTGGCCTAGATCCAGAAGTGTGTATTTTGCATAACATGGATATATCAGTTAATAAATATAAAAAATCAGGGATATGGTACTATATAAATGCTGCAAAAGCTCTGATACCCAGGTTCTGGAGGCAAATAGAGGTGCCGAAGATTGGATTGAAAGAGTTGAGCAGATTAAAAAGATGGAAAGGTTGTGTCATATCCAGGAAGATAGGATGGAGACTTATAATAGGAAATGGGGAGAACTGGGAAAAAGCTAAGTTATATATGAAATATAGGAAAGAATAAAGAAAATAATAGAAAAACTGCACTTGCGGATATAAAATGACGCAGAGAAAAGGAAGAGTAGGAAGATTTGGAAATTTGGAATAAAGTAAATAAAGTAGAAATGTTGGATACTATAATGTATATTTTTATATATATGTTTATATATCATGATGATGAAATGTATTTAAAATGAAAATTAATAAAATATTTAAATTATAAAAAAAATAGAAATCTGCTGTCCTGTGCTGTCACCACCAGGGGCGGACTGACCATTTGGAAACTCGGGCACTGCCCAAGGGCCCGGGGTCAGTAGGGGGCCCCATGAGATGCCCCTATTACCTTTTTCATAGGCTTTTTTGAGTTTGGGCAAGGACACAGGGGCCCCATGATCCCCTATTGCCCAGGGGCCCCATGAGGTGTCAGTCCGCCCCTGGTCACCACTGTGTCCTATCAGAGTGAAATAGTGCTAAGTATAAGAGCTTACAGTCTGTTAGGGTATAAGGTAAAAATACAGAAGAGTTTAACATCTACTGGAGTATATAGAGATTATGCAGAAAGTTTAAAATTTTGAAGCCAAATAAGGAACAAAAGAAGAAAATACTGAAATAGTGTTATAGTTTAAAGTCCATCAGGTTATAAATTAGTAATATAGATTTCTTAGCCCGACTCTCCCAAGAACAAAGACACTTGGGGGTCCCAGAATAATATCATAGTGACACTTAGGCTGTGTTCACACATGAGCATTCATGTTTTTGACCACATTTTTGTAAAGTATGGTAAAACACACTACTCGCTTATGGTGCCATTATCTCTTAATGGAAACCCAAACTTGGTGTTATTTTGGTGTGTTTTTCACGTGACAAAATATGCAAGAAAACACCACATTAATACACTGGCTCAGTGCCAAACATTTGGTACATGAGCTACTTTGGTGTGTTTGTCAAGTGTAGGGGAGCCCATTCAAGTCAATGGACTACGCTACACTTTTATGGGAAAAAAACGTAAAAAAAAATGTTTGAAAAAGTGTGTATGAATGTCGCAGTCAATGAGACACTGATGCTTGGAGTCCAAGAAGAACGTCACACTGACACTTAGGGGATCTATTTATAAAAATTCTCAAGACATTTGTACAGTTGTCACAAATAATCACAGTTCCTCATAATTGGTCACTAGATAGAGCTGATTATCATAGGAAATTACAGGTATTATTTGTGACAGATTTTTTAAAAGTAGGACCCTTGGGCCTCGTTTACATGGCAGCCAAGGGGTTGATAAAATAGGCAATTGAGCCGTGGTTTGACTGCCCTATGACTGCCTAGCTGCAAGTTGGCATGCCCACCAGCCATGTTAGTTTACACTGCAGAGTCAGACAGTCACAGTGCAGCATAGCAAAAAAAAAACAATAGCACAGGTTGCGTTCGATGGGTAGTACTGTCACCATGTGACCCATACAAGTAAATTGGGCCATGCTGCAATCGACCTGTAGCCGCATGTAATGCACACTGTTGCAGTACAGTGCCGTGGCCTTCCAAGGGTTAAAACAGGTAGTGAGAAGGTTAATATTTCCTGTGCCTGTGAAATGCATCTATAAAGTGATCTACCATGGACTGCACTGACACTATTAAGAACAATGACACACTCAAAGTCTCAGAAGAGTGGCTTCTTTTAATAACACAATCTTACATAAGATCCAAGATCTGATATAACCTTTACTTCCTAGAAATGTGTAGTTAGGCAGGAGATTATCTGCTTGAACGGTAGACTGGCATTCATCTGTCATCACTTATTTGGTGCCAATGGAAGATATCCAAATAAACCAAACCCTTTTCAGAACATGTGCGAACCAAGAACCTCCAGTGGGTAGTTGTGATTTACTGACTGATGTCTGGGTTCCAGACATTTCCAAGCTTCATTTGGAGTATTTGATGAGTGTGATTTAGTAGTCACATTTCAATTACATTAATACACATTAATTAAATTGATACATTTAAACCAAGATAATTAAACATAATATTAAAACACAAACAAGATGGGGCAGGTGGCTGTTTCATATAATGTGATGTAAACTTTCAGAGTATTTGAAAAAATTGAGAAAAGGAAATGTGTTCATTGCAACCAAAGAGCAACTTCTGAAATTTAGAGAACAGGAAACAAGCACAAACACAACCAATCAGGTTCTGTTATTCACTTGGTTGGAGCAAGAAACAGCTACACTTTTGTTCCAGTTTTCCTACATCAGCTTGTAACTATGCTCACAAGGCTGCACTTAGATCACAGATTGCAGACCGCTAGAGCATGTATGGGAATTTCAATTGGTGGAATATACCCTCTATACTCATCTATGGAATTGCACTGCAATACAGCTATCCAGTAGCTTGCACACCTGATCTCATTAGTCACATATAAAGTGGAGCGAGCTTCCACCCTGAGCCTGACAAATCTGGCTTTTGGAATGTTAAATTCAACTGTTTTATGAATCCTGATTCTATCTGCAGCCTGCCTTGACCATTTGCCTGTCAGACCACAGTTCTGTCTACCGATTTGATGTCAAGCTTAGTTGACCTGTAAGTCAGTTGTCACTTACAGACATACCGTGTGTTAGCAGCATAACATCTGCACCATTGGTGAAGACATAGTGCTCTGGGACTGAGCCTCTGAGGAAGTATGGTTGTACTGGCGGTACAGAGGGTTTATGAATCCTAAAAAGCACACAACATTTTCAACCAGTAAATAGGGTCTGCTATTCATCAATGTGAAAATGATTCGCATTATCCAGAAAATTTGTGAAATGGGGTTACATTAAAAATATTCAACTATCTTCGGTGGTACATGGTTCCACCAGGTTAGCTCGTATTATTTCTAACTCTTCCGCACACTGCTTCTAAGGGTACTTAGAGGCAGGTTCTTTTATTCATGGGTCTCAACTTATTTTCCATCCTGTAATTGGACAGTGCAGGGAGAACAGAAGGCTGATGAGCTTTTCTCTCTGTCACTCTGTTCTCTCCTCTGTCCTATCAGCATGTTTCTTGTTAGCACAGAAGTGCTGCAACCAATTGGCTCATTGTGCTGCTTTTCCCTTTACCAGTCTGAGTTATGCTGTATGGGGGACTGAAAGAAATGGACACCAAATTAAATTTGGGTACTGTACTTACCCTGCTAGAATTAAAAATAATAATAAGAGTTTAATAATTTATTATTGAATACAGAGCTGCACTGATTTGAGTCTTTTCTATCTGTTTGGAGTTTGTGACCATACATTCTCAGCCTTCAATTAGTTTTGCAGGTGTCATTTTTTTGTGACACATGCCTGAAACAGGAGATTGCCAAAGTATTTCATCTTCAGTATGAAAAGCCCAAAAGACTATGGACAGGATTTTGTCTCAGACACTGGTCTCTGTCTTCTCAATCATTTTAGCAGTGAGGGAAGCCATTCCCACCAAAAGCCTGATATCCATTTAATCCATTGCAAGGGATTAACAGAATTTCAGAGAAAAAAGGAAAATATACAGTCATGGCCAAAAATATTGGCACCCATGCATTTCTGTCAGATAATGCACCGCTTAGCCTAGAAAATTGTTGCAATTACAAATATTTAGGCATTCTCATGTTTATTTCTTTTGTTTGTATTGGAAAGAAACAAAAAAGTGGAGAAACAAAAAAGCCAATTCTGACACATTCCACGCAAAACCCCAAAAATGGACTGGACAAAATTATGGACACCTTCAATTTAATATTTGGTAGCACACCCCTTGGAAAAAATAACTGAAATCAATCACTTCCTCTAACCATCAATGAGTTTCTTACACCTCTCTACTGGACTTTTTGACCACTCTTCTTTTTCCAACTGCTCCAGGTCTCTCAGATTGGAAGGGTTCCTTTTCCCAACTGCTGTTTTGAGATCACTCTACAGATTCTCTATGGGATTGAGATCTGGACTAACTGCTGGCTATTCTCTGAAACCATTTCTAGGTGCTTTTTGGCGTGTCTTTTGGGTTATTGTCCTGCTGTAAGACCCGTGACCTCTGATGAAGACCCAACTTTCTGACACTGGGCCCTACATTGCACCCCAGAATTCTTTGTCAGTCTTCAGATTTCATAATGCCATGTACACGGCCAAGACATCCAGTTCCTGAAGCAGCAAAGTAACCCCAACACATCAGTGAACCTCCACCATGTTTGACTGTAGGGACTGTAACCTTTTCTTTCAAGGCCTCATTTCTTCTTCTGAAAACAGCTGAATGATGGGCTTTACCAAAAAGCTGTAATTTTGTTTTTGTCTGTCCATAACACATTCTCCCAAAAGGATTTTGGCTTCCTCAGGTAAGTTTTGGAAAACTCCAATCTGACTTTTTTATGTTTCTGTGTCAGCAGTGGGGTCCTCCTGGGTCTCCTACCATAGCGTCCCTTTTCATTCAGATGTCGATGTATAGCGCGAGTTGACACAGTTGTATCCTCTGCCTGACGGTCAGCTTGAATTTGTCTGAAAGTTGATCGAGGTTCTTTATCCACCATTCCAACAATCCTTTGTTGCAATATTTGATCAAGTTTTACTCTTTCGTCCACATCCAGAGAGATTAGCTAAAGTGGCATGAGCTGTAAACATCTTGACAATGTTGTGCACAGTACACACGGGAACATTAGGATCTATTATTTGATACATTTTAATTACAAATTACAGGAGCATCACAAACTTGGAATGCAAGTATTTCCTGCAATTTTAAGAGGGTGCCAATAATTTTGTCCAGTCCATTTTTGGAGTTTTGCATGGAATGTGTCAGGTTTGGCTTTTTGTTTCTCCACTTTTTTGTGTCATACCAATACAATTTTTGTACATGACTGTATTTCGATATACAGCACCTAAGTAACAATATACAGGGCTGTTTGGCTTGTGGTTGAAGTTGGACTCTTGGCCCATAGGTAATTCTACAGCAAAGTTCATGACAAAGTGTAACTCACAAGTTAGTATTAGCTAATTCATAGATTATTGTCCGTAAGACTGAGGGAAAGTTTACACAGAAAAGAACAGTTATTCAATAACTTTCCCTGCAAAACAAGATTATGGAGAAAAGCAGGAAATCTTGTATAATCAAAGGATTACCAGCACACACAAAAACAATGTGTGGGCATTGACAAGATATTACCATACTGTATTTAATGATTATTATACAAGATTTACAGTATATAGCGCCAACAGTTTACACAGCATTTTACAGCTAATGGCTTTGTGGTGTGCTTTGTATTTTAAATCTGAGCTCCACAGATGAAACACATATATGGACCTGTTTTATCTGCCAAAGGATTTCTTTTATTCCTGTTTTCATCCAGTTTTCATGTGTTCACTGCTTTGCCACACACACATCTCACTGGATTACCTAGAAGCTATGTTTTTGGGGAAGGCACCCTACTCTACACAGTACTCCAATCCCACATTCT